AGTGCTTGCTAAGGGGGAAATGTGCAAAGAATGTATTCTATCTTGGTTCTGATTATGTTGGTTGATGTTTATAATATATAATACGATTGATTAAGAGTCTGGGTTTGGGGAAAATTAAGTGGTTTAGAGCCACAATGGGAAGTTACTAAGTAGCTTCAGGGAGCTGTCATCTTTCTTCAAAGACAGGATTTGACTATTTGGTCTTGAAAAAGAGGTTCTGGGACTCTTCATTAGTAAAGGGGAAAGTTTGAAGATTTTGGGTTGTCTGTCCTGCCAGATTCAGTAGTCCCCATAAATTGGAGATACTTCATTATAATCAGACAAGATAGCAGCAGATGTTGCCATTTAGGAGCCAGTGGCTGTTTACTCATCTCTAGCAGTGGCCAACACAAATGCATTAATGTAAGAGTAAAAGCAGCTACAACTGGTGCTGACATGCCAATGGGGATGACATGAAATGCTGTTGCTTGGTCTGTTTCACAGAATCATAGAGTAACTTGGGTTGGAAGGAACCTTTGAAGGTCATCTAGTCATCTAGTGGGTCGATCATAAACTGCCACCAGCGAAGCTGGTGAAGGGCCTGGAGAACAAGGCTTGTGAGGAGCTGGGGTTGTTTAGTCTGGAGAAAATGTGCCTGAGGGCAGACCTTATTGTTTTCTACAACTACCTGAAAGAAAGTTGTAGAGAAGTGGGAGTCAGTCTCTTTTCCCAGGTAACAAGCAATAGAATGAGAGGAAAGTTGTGCCAGGGGAGGTTTAGATTGGATATTAGGAAAAACTTCTTCACCAGAAAGGTAGTCAAGCATTGGAACAGGCTGCCCAGGGAGGTGGTGGAGTCATTATCCCTGGAGGTATTTAAAAGACAGGTACATGAGGTGCTTAGGGACATGGTGTAGAGGTAGACTTGGTAGTGTTAGGTTTATGGTTGGACTCAGTGACCTTTTCCAACCACTACAATTCTATGATTCTATGTTTTGGTTATTTCTCTGCATGTAGAGAGTTGGAACTCATCAGGAAGAAAACTAAGGTCCCATGTACTCTGAGGCTGGTGCTCTAACAGCACATAAAAGGCAAAGTGAGGTTGTGTGGATGTGTGTTTGCTTGAATAAAGAGATGGAAGAGTGACCTCTGAGAGCTTTGGTGTTTATATGCAGCCCATTGCTGTCCTTGCCTCCTTCCATATTTAAAATGCCAACATACTAGAAAGTCACCCACACGCTCTGTTTTCCAGCTGGTTGTAGGTAGTGGTTGAAGTTGTTATCTGGCTTCCCATTGTTGCCTCTAAAGGAGGGGTTAATGTGTGTCAGAAAGTGGTGCTACTGGGGAGAGAGAAAACCCTTCCTGACCCTGCCATTTCCTCAGAGACAGGAGAAGCGAGAAGATTGGCATGCCAGGTCTCCTCCAGCTTTTGCTTCCTACCTATCCCATTCCTACTGCAAAAACAGCCCAGCCTGGCCTTGGCCTCTTTTCATCTTGCACTAGCACAGCTCAGCTTTGCCTATGTTGCTGAGAAGCTTTGAGGTGGCCCTGGATGAATAGCTTCTGCCTTTCATGTTGCAGACTGCAAGCATCAATGAGTAGGCAGTGACCTCATGGACATCAGACTACATTTGGTGATGAGTTAAGGGTTTGTTTTGGTCTCCCTTACTCTAAGTGTACTAATTGGGTGAAGGATTGCAGTGGGAACCTCTTTAACCAGACCTGAGATTTCTGGGTGGAGCCAGGATATTTTGGACATTTTTCACTGATTTTTGCAATTTGTTTTGTTCAAGTAGAACATGATATTTTTAAAATAGTTTTTAATATTTTTTTTATTTTGAAAAGACAATTCCTTTTGAAATTTTTTTGGATAGGGCTGAAAGCAGTTGTGTTCAATTAATTCAGGAAAAAGAATCACTTGAAGATGAGAAAAATATTTTTTTTTTTTTTTTTTTTTACCACAGTAGATTTTGATTTTGTTCTCAAACTTCAGTCAAGACTTTAAAAAGAAACACCTCTCCTAGAAAAAGGAAAAAACCCCAACAAAACAACAAATAAGAACAAAGACAAAAAAAGCCACAAACTTACTTCAAATTGACCTGTGATGACTTTTTTGAGTCTTATTTTTCTGCTCGACCAATAAATAAAAACTAATCAGTTTTTCACAAACCTTTCTGCTCTCTTGATTTGTAACAGAGAGCTAAGGTACAGAATCACACAGAATCACAGAATCACAGAATATTAGGGATTGGAAGGGACCTCAAAAGATCATCCAGTCCAATCCCCCTGCCAGAGCAGGAACCTAAATGAGATCACACAGGAAGGCGTCCAGGTGGGTCTTGAATGTCTCCAGAGAAGGAGACTCCACAACCTCCCTGGGCAGCCTGTTCCAGTACGCTGAAGTTATGGCTTCTGAATGAAAAAATAAACTTTTCTGCTGCCTCCAGTAAGACACCCAGTGTAGGTGCTGGGTGAAGCCTTGTTCTCTCCCCCAGCATGTCCCTCTGGTTGGCTGTGTGCAGGGCTCAGAGCAGTGTGATGACTCTTCAGGCTCACAGCCGGGGTACTTCAGGCTCTTCTCCACCATGCAAGGAACCGTGGCAGGACCCACTGTGCTTTGAGGTGAGTTACTCGAATCTTTATATATGATGGGAGCAATAAGGAGACCAGAAAAGGTTTATACTCCAAAGCCAAGTTTTGCACAAATGAGAACAAAACCTATGAACTACTTTAAATAGAGAAACTAAAATGATGATGTGAGACAGCAGCAAAAAAAAAAAAAAAAATTAATAAATGTGTTGTGAAAGCGTCTGCCAGACTTTGACATTTTCTTTTTTTGTTTTCCTGTGCTTTGAAACTGAATTACTTGAATCATCAGGCAATAACAGATAATCTGCATCTCTATAGACATCCAGCAGAAAGTAGTGAAAAGGTTTCAAGACACAACCAAATAAAGTACAAGAATGTCAGGAACATTTGGTGAAGCTGGAACTCCAGAGTGTGTTTTTTGTTTGGGTTTTTGTTTGTTTGTTTGTTTGGTATGAAAAACCCACAAGAAAATGGCCTTCAAACCACCTAAGTATTCATAACATGTTCAGACACAGACATTGGGTCATTTTCTCAATAGTACTATCATAATGAATGAAAACTCTGGTACTGTAAGATCCTCAGCTGCTATAAATTAGCTTCAGTGATGCCAGTTTAGATTCTATGGGTGGAATTCATCTGACACAGTGGCTTTATTTTCAGTACAAACTTTGTGAGCTGAGCAAGCTGTGCTAACCTTTGTTCGGATTCATCTCAGCCTGAAGTAGCAGTCTGAGATAAGCCAGAGGAATTGTGCCTACTGCTCTCCACTGAGCACAAAGATCATCTCAGCCTGAAGTAGCAGTCTGAGATAATTGCGCCTACTGCTCTCCACTGAGCACAAAGGACTAAAGAGGCTGGCAATCTCTGTTTATACTAATAAATGTTAGGCAAGGTGGATTTGACCCTGATTGTTGCTTTTCGTAAAAATTGAGGAGAAATTCTCATTGGCTTAGGCATTTTCAAGAGCTCCATAAAGATAATGTAGATGCAGGTACATCAGCATTGTGGTCAGATACTCTGACCTTTTGCTTTACTGTGAACAGCCTCTTAATCCACAAAAGAGGACACAAAACTCAAGTGAACATAGCTGCTCAACTTGAGATGCTTTAAGATGTCTTGATTTAGAAAGCAAGACTCCCAACCTATCAAAGCCTGACCTCTGCAGGATCCAAGCCCAAAACTTCAGGCACTGCCGAGCTTGAGGAGAGGAAGAGGCTGAATGCAGGTCTCTGCATGTGTTGCTGGCTGAGCAATGCCAATTTCAGAGAAAGTCATAGGAATTTTTGTACTAGACAGCTGTACTAGATGCAGAGACTTAAATAGCTTTGCTGGTGGACATTTGGATGTCCGAAGAAAATAGTCATCTATCTCTGAGCAGGAATTTTAAGAACATGTGTCTTTAATTTCTGCATTCAAAATAACACCTACTTCCTTTGCCAGTTCAGCCCTAAGGACTTGCACATTTCCAGAAATGTGTAAGAACTTCTGCAAATGCAGGAGAACTGGGCTCCAGGGAACTTGTACATCTAACAGTACATATCTGCCTTTCAAGCCTCAGTGGTGTTGCCTTTGAAGTCAGTGAGAATTTTGCTATTGACCTCAGCTGGAGTGAGATCAATGGGAACAAACCCTTAGGTAAATATGCCCAGAAACATTAATCAAAGGTATGTTTGTTTCCTTAATGACTTATTGGACGTGGCAGAAGGGAGGATTTCAGATTGTTTCAATAGAGTGAGGATGGCTTTAAGAGTGCAGTTATAAAAGCCAGACTTTAAAGGTATTTGCAATTGTCTAAGTACCCAGTATATGTGTCTTGAATCGTTTGGTTTGAATGCAAAGGTCACCCCAGAGACGTGTGTAAATGTCTCCTGGATTTCTCTTTCATGACTTTTTTCTGTCCTCTGTGTTTCTGCAGTGCTCCAATTACCTTTCACACCACTGCTGATGCAGACAAACTGAACAGCTTTGATTTGGCTGGAGGTATAGAACAGTCTTAGCTAATTTTCTGACAGATTTTCTTCCATCTCTTTGCCAACCTCATCTAAAAATTGCTTTTTTTATATGTTACCAATCTATTCTGTGCATGACAGCATTAAGTCATGCTAAATGAATGAACCAATGATCAAAAATGTTTTGCTAATATCTCATTGAGATGCAATTAGACATTTTCACTTTTTAAAATTACCCTACATTTTAATAACAAAAAAGACACTTGAGATTCTTTAATAATGTAATTTTTTTTTAAGGAGAGGTAATTTATACTTGACCCTCACAAAGCATACACTGTAAGCACATATGTGATACGGATTTTGTAAGGCAACCACAGACCCGTACACTGCTATGTGTGTACACACACTAGTACTACAGACTTCTTGTCCTTTTTACCTATCCTGGTAAATGACCTTGAGGGAGGAAGAAACAAAAATGAAACCATGCTGAAAAACTTTTATCTTTTTATTATTGGCGCCTTTACATTAATACTGCTGTTTTATGCTGAGAAAACCAATCTGTTACACGCAAGGTAACTGTAATATACAACATAGAAATGCAGTCTAAGTTAATTACAACAAGGAGCTACAAAAAAATTTTGTAGGAAAGAACTCACCTAACATTGCAACTGTGCTTGCAACAAATCACTCCCTTACTGCAGGACTATGCACATTGTGAACCATGGTTATTTACATATCCCTTACAACCGTTAACAACAGAAAGGCTAAAATCAGTCTAAAAAGTTCCAGAACATCACTATATACTGTACAATCCTCAAAAATAATTTATTACACTGTTTCTAAAAAAAGTACTAGTTTTGTTTTGATTTCTTTTGTTTTCTGGTGTTTTCCGGGGTGCACAACATGTGCAAAATTTTGCCTAACAGTCTAAAAACTCAAGAACTGAACTGCAAGTCACAATCACAGAGATGAAGTGGTGGAGTCCAGAACTTCCCTTCCATTGCAGACGGTTGGTACATACATACTAGCAGATGCTGAAAGAGAAAGAGAGAGGAATATCAGCTGACTTCAGGGCAGCAAAAAATTACAACATACAGGATTAGAATTTGTGTTTATCTGGACCATCTCACCCAATTTAACCAAGATGCCCAATGAAAAGTCTCTGTATGTGACTGTTGGCAGTGAAGCTGATGGAGGTTCTGCTTGCACCTCTATAAGGCAATTGAGATCGGAGGCTGAAGCACCCTCTGGATGAACCTGATTTCTCTTTGCTGATCTTTGAGAGTGCTTAGGGTGACTAAGCTTCTCCAAGAAGTGTCTGAATAAAATATATGATTTTTTTTTTATGATTCTGGGACACTGGGTCTCACTTTAAAGCCCTTTGCATGGTAGTGTGAATTAATATAGCTAGAATGGTGCTAAGTTATCCCTGTAGAATAAAAAGAGAATCTTTGGATTTTTCATGTTTTATTGGCAAGAAATGCTAAGGTCTGATCCTTTGAGCTTTCACATAACTGGAATGGACATTTTTGAAATAAAATATATGCATTTTTAAATCCAGGAGAGAATCCACCTCTGCATATTAGGACTGTGTGTTGATCTACTTTTTAATAAAAAAAAATAAAAATCCGTGTACATGTTGTATGGAGTGAAGAAATTTTTGAATAACTGAATTTGAAAGCAAGATTATTTCTCACCCAATCCCAGAGTATTTTCTGGCCATAATACCCTTCATTTCTAGGAGTTCTGAATCAGGACTCAATATGCATCCAGAGGTGAGGGCCAGATTCTGATACCCTTGTCTACATTGCCTAATATTTTATACAATAGGTTTTAATTGCTTCAGTGATATAAGATGACAATTGAGCCTGAGTATTGCAATCTGTTTCTGAATGTATTTGTATTTTAGCTGTAGGATGTGTTAGCACTCTGCTAAAGCCTTGTGGATTTTAATTTAAAAGCAAGCTGGTTTGTCCATCTTTGTTAAAATTATCCACTGGGCATCAGGAATGTGTTTTCAGATACTCTGTGACATCTCTGCTTACTGCACCATAAAGCCTTTTTTTGAAAGATACATTAGGTTAATGATAACAGTGACCCAGAGAAATGTGATGCCTTCATCAAAGAAAACACACAGCAAGCAATGACTTAGTAAACTCAATCATCCCATGTAAAAAGCAATTTATGCAGCTGACAAGGGCATGCTCAGCCTTCCAGAACTGGTGCTGGCTGCACTCTCAGTTGCAGACTGGTTCTCTAAAGATGCTCAGCATCAATTTCAGAACAGATCATTCTTTCTTCAAATCAGCTACTATTTCTGATTCTTTGTTTGACTGAATAAATATAAATGGAAAACAGAACTGCTTTAACAAGAGAAATTTAGAGGCACATATTGGACTAACCTACTATTCAGAGGGCAGGAGATACTCCTGATAAGCAGGAGAGCCAAGAATGAGCCCCTGCTCTGAATTAGGTAGATGGAGTTTGATCTAGATGTGTTGTGAGTCATAGTCATTTGTAGGTAAAAGGGCACAGGGTATCATCTGTATAATTTTGTGAAAATGAAATATCAGGTTTTGTATTCAGTTTTTAACTGGGTATAATATGGCAACACTTTGACCTGAAATTTTTATTATTGTTGTTATTTTTATTTCTACTTGTTGGCAAATAGAAAAATCCATACTGCTTAGAAGACCTGATTCAAATTTCTTTTCTACTGCAGTATGACTACAGGCAAAAGCATTTTGTTTCTGTGAATATCAGTCACCCACACAGAACTTTTTAGCTTCAGGGGTCTTTTGAAGTCCAACATGTTGAAGAGCATTAATAGCTCAAATAGTGCAGTAGCTGGGTCAGGTGGATGCCAAAGTTGGACAGAGAAATACGGTGGTAGGCGAGAAACAAGTGGCCTTGCCTTTTGAGCTCCCAGGCTTCCTCCACAGTACACTCCTCTCTTGTCATGGTGAGAGGCAGTTGCTCATTGTTCTGGGTGGAGTAAAATGTTCACGCTGAGTATCCAGCTCTCTCTGAGACTGAACAAAAATCTTGCTTTTCCTTACAGACCTTGACAATGTTAATCGCTGTCCCTGCAGGGTTCTGAGTTTCATGTCGTGTATTATAGCAGCAGCCAAGAGGTTTCCTGAAATGTTGCTGGATCTACTGGAGACACTGCACTTCCATTTTACCTTATGTTCAGGCCAAGGAAAAATGTCTGACATGACCAGAAGTCTTGATTTGGCTGCAATTCATGCTTTTGACCTCCTCTTTCCTGGCAGCCCCTCATTTTGCTTAGATAATCCAAGGCAAAGAACCAGATGTAAAATGCAAGGGCCCAGCACTGCCGTGGGCATCTTGTAGCATGCCTACATAGTCAGGAACAGGCAGATTCAAATTTGCTGTCTGTGTGCCACTTCTACTCGTGGTCACAGCTGACAACAGTGAGTTAATAATGTATAAAAGCCATATATGAGCACTAGTTTAGAGCAAGGGCTGGGAAAATAAATTCTGAGAGAGAAAATTTACCAACCTGGCTATAAACAGTAGCTTCAATTCTTTTTCTGACCCCTGTGGAGGACATCTGGAGGAGCACAAGTCTGTGTACTGCTCTCTATGTGGACATAACTTGGATGAATGAATGATACCTTCTGGGTGTAAAAGCTCAGCCTGAATCATGTAGGTGCTTAAATCAGTCCTGAGCTCTCTGGGAAGTTTTGTGAGTGCTAATTTCCTGCCTTATGGGGATACTTCTGCCAAGCCCATAAAACAGGCCACAGGAGAACTGGGGAACATCCCAATGAGGGAAACACTACAGGGGAAGAACTTATGCTGCACTCTGCCAAAGGTGAGTTTTCAGTTGCAAATAAATTTGTACAGATGCACAGGTTTCAAAACATGTTGTATACCTGGGTACACATATATCTTGTCTCTCTTCAGCTTAAATCTATAATCTTTTGTAGTCCAGATTTCAGCTGTCAAGATGATTAAAGCTTGGTGCCTCTAAAACAAGTTTTCTCACTTAGCAGTCAGGTATTGATCTCTACTAGTTTTCTGCAGAGCATGTGGCAAAGATGAGGAATTGTATTCAGATGAGTCCATGAGGTGCTCAGTTTAGCTCTCATGACCACTACCACACTGCTGCTTATGTGGTTGACCATTGCCTCATGCCCTCCCTCCACTGCTCAGTTTAGGGATGTAATTACAATGCACATTTAGAGCTAACTCTTAACACTACCCAAGAGCATCATGAGTGTCATTTACCTTTTATCAGAGTGTTTGGCCAGTTCTCATGGTTCAAGGAACTGTGTTAAAAACCCTGTGAGTCACTTGCTGTTCATGACCCACTGTGCTCATGGCATTAATGACCGACAGAGTAAAGTGGTGTCAGTCCTGAGGTGCAATGGAGCTGGGAATCCATGGAGGTAGGAAACACTGCCCATTCAATCAAGTTGAATATTCCTGTCCTCTAAAGCTCTGACAATGAACAAGAACCATTTTTTGGATGTTGCTGTTACTAGAATGCCCTGGAGCTATTTTGATCAGTCTTGTATGAAACAGTTTCAAACTGATGAAAACACCATTAAGACCAGAATAAAAACAAACTGATAGGTCTGGGAGGAATATTTTAGACATGGATTTGAATTAATTTGGATGACAACATTTTTGGAGGTTTATAAATTACTAAATAGCAAAGAAAAAAAAATACAAATAAAAGGAAAGGAGTAAGGGAAAATTTTCCTTCTTAAAAATATTGGTGCTGTGACAGAGAGTGAATTCTCAGTGTTATTTTCCCAAATATTTGTCCTAGATGGAAACTGTAGGGCTTTTTCCATTGTATGTGATGGACCTTTTAGTCCTTCTTCCAGGTCCACATCTTGCCATGGTCTGAAAAGACCATCAGGGATAACCAGCCCTTATTCAGCGATGTAAGCAGGAAAAGTAAATGACTGTGCCCACCTTTCTAAACAATGAAGTAGCAAGAGCTTATACATCTAGATTTTTATGCTTTCCTTAATGTCTTAAAGATATTAAAAAACCTGAAAAAGTAGGCTTTTAATGTAAAGTTGTACACTGAGGATGTCTTCCAGTTTCATGCAGGTTTGTGCACGCACATGTACTAACCAGCCGTTATATTAAAAATATCGAATTCCAAAATGCAATCCTGTACAAAAGTATCCACGAATCAAAATGGTTTCTGACTAAGCTTATTCCATAGTATGAGAGAATAAAAAAATTTGTAAAGATCACTTACACAAAATTCATAAGAGATGAATTAATCTCATGAAACTTACCATTTCATCAAGGGGCCAATCTTCTAAAGGTTTTTGAGAATCCATTGGTTTTGCAAATCCAGCCCTTTTCTTAGTGCTCAGCACTTTGGGCACTTAAGGCTATAACATTTATCTTTGTTTAAGTTTTTCAAAACAGCAGGGAGATTTTGGGTTCTGCTGTCAGGGTGGATGCAGTCCTGATTCTGATGAGATGGGGAACAGGTAAAGCCACTTGGCTGCTGTCTTGTTAAGGGACCCTGGGCATTCATGACACAGTATGGTTTGGGATGGGTGAGCCAGAGATGGCTGAAACCCCTTTCCCTCCTAATCTCTGACAATGTGATAGACAGCAGAGTCCCAAGTTACTTGCATGTTCTCTCTGAAATCTGAAGTGCCAACATTTTCTAGCCTGTTTTGAAATTTAGGTCATGCTCAAAAACCTGAGGCTAGGTTACTGTGAACTTGCTGGCAAGCCTTGCTCTGTGTCCCCCCTTTCCTCTGTTTCTTATTCCTTGTCTCTTTCTAGTTGTAATGTGTTTTTTCAATTAGCTTTCCAGGTTGGACATGATGTTCACAGAGCTCTGTGAACAAGGTGCTGTGTGCTCCTATCCTTGACTAATTAAGCTTGACAAGGAAAAAAGGAACCATACAGGTGTTTTTTCTTTTTTCAATTAAAAAATAATCTCTAAGCAACTCAGCCAGAAGAAGAGTGACAGCCTCAGATCAAAATCACAGATGTGAATCTGCTTGGAATGAGGAGACTGAAGATGAAGGAAAGGAGGGAGGCCGAGCAGATGAGCTGTTCTTGCAGTGGAGCACTGGTTGCCTCTCCTGGCACTTACAAAGGATATTGCTCACACTCAGCATATAGTCATAGTTTATGGCATCCCTTGTATACGTTTGCTGCAGACTTGGAACCTTTCCTTATCATGCAGGCGATAAGAGCCATTGAGAGCATGCTGCATTGTGGCTCAGGTCCCGTCTGCGTGTCATTTTGACAGGAACACTCCAGGGCAATCTGTTCTTGTCGCTGCTGCAAGAGTGACAGCGAGCGACAGGCTCTACTTGCTTTGCACAGCAGGCTGGAGTCAGAGCCCGCTGAAAGCTTTCTGCTGACTTCAGTGGGATTCAGAGCAGGCACCAAGCTGATTCCCATGGGATGGGGATGAGTTTTCCTTTCCAGACACAAATAAAGTGATGCTTCTACAGGATGCACAGCCCAGCCTATAATAGTCTTTGTGCTGCTGGTAAAAAACCTATTTAGTCTTTACCCAAACTCACCGCAACCCCACATCCTTATAAAAAAGTGGCAGTTTTGTTACTTACACTGGGAGTAAGTGGTCCCGGTCCCACTGACACTGAACCTGTTGAGATGGAGTCTGTGAGTGACCACATTCTTCTGGGGCTGGAAGAGGATGATGTGCACCTTGGGTGCAAACAGGCAGCCCAGCACAACGAAGCCGCTCAGACTCACAGAGATGCACATGGTGGTGGTTTGTACCTAGGAGAGAGTGGGTGCAAAGAGCTGTATTTCAGTATGGAAAGCTCTGAAATGTAGAAATTAGAAGTATTATCATATAACAGCAGGAAGCACAGTCCTCGGAGTTTGCACTGGTACAAGCTGGCTTGAACATCTGTTGCATCCTTATCTTCCACAATCCTAAAATCATATGAGTGAGGTGCAGGGTGCTGATGGTGCCCCAGGTCTCTGCATATCAGGGGGACATGTGCCAAGGGTGTTCTCCCTCATTTTAGTACAGAAAGGATAATTCTGCTCTCTTTCTCTCATCTCTCATGCCCTGGATTTCTAAATTGGTCAGGAATTCCTCTATAATGCCTTTCACGCAATATCTGAGCAAAGCTGGCTGCAGTGGAAACCAGCTTGCACGTATCATATTTTATATGGGTTTACATTAGATGCCTCATGCAAAGCTTCCATTTGAAAACTTGAGACAACTTGACCAATCCCTTGCAGGAATATAGGTGTGATTTCGAGTAAGCATAAGAGCTGGTGACATTTGTCAGCTGGGCCTGAAATATACCCTGACTCTGAGACATAGACTTTTGGGCTCAGAAATGAATTGTTTGTAAGGCTGCAGGATTTTGGAGCAGTTGCCTTGGGGTATTTGTTAGTGTAACTTTGCTGGCACTGTCTATGTTTCTTCCTTTTTGTTTAATGGTATAAGTATGTGCCAGTTTGCTGCCTCATTTTCAGTTTATATTCTTTTCTTCCAAGCAGGTTCCTTAATTAAGATGTTGAATTAAACTGCTTTAAACTCTACTTCTTAACTTGAATGATTATACATCCATAACTCGTTTTTCCTTAGTTACACTCCTGCAGTCCTTGGAGATGAGCCTTCTTCCATGGGAATGCTTCTCATATCTCCTTGTCAGAAATAATTGGTGCAAAATGACAAATAGAGTAGGGAATGGAATTTGTTGCTTTATACATAGCACCAAGTGCTTTGTCAGCAGAGAGTATAATTAATGTGATTATATAATAATAATTCTTTACTGGAGGTAAACGTGGAAAGCACCATGAAAAGGTGCTCAGCTTTCAGAGGGTGAGTGAAAATGGAAGACCCTACAGGGGCGACATGAGAAAGGGACACCTTAGTGTTTCCAGCTGCACTTTCTCCTCCACTTCTCTGCATTTTGTCCACGCAGCTCTGCAGGTGGTTATAGGTGGGTCTTGAAACAGTAAAACAGGACTGGGAGTTTTCTTATAAAACAAGAATAAATGAAGGTAGTAGTTTCAAGGTAAGTTTTCTTGACTAACAAAGTCCTACCTACCAGCCTGCTCTGCCAGGGTTTGTGCCTCCCGGAGCAGCTCAGCTGCGCTGACACAATTATACACTCAATCAATGAAATGATTTGGGTTAAAAATAGACCCATCTCACAGGGTTCCTTTTAACCCAAGTCAGATCAGTGGTTTGATTTGTAACCCAGCCTCATGGACACTGGTGTGCTGGCAGAATAGTAGCAATCATAGAATCATAGAATCGTTGTGGTTGGAAAAAACAACTTTAAGATCATTGAGTCCAGGCAGGAACGACTGTCAGGGGGGGTGAGGTCAGGAGGATGAGCTCATTGAGCCAGAATTACTCCTAAGGAAAATGCAGGAAGAAACAGCAGGAACTTTTGACACCTGATTTTCTTACAACCAGTTTAACACCTAGACTTTTCTCTTCCTGTGTTACTGCTGCATTTCTTAAGCTTTTGTCTAAGATGATCAGGTTGAAAATTCCCTTACATGTGCTAGAAATTGGAGCTGCTGTGGATTTATGTTATATGTGTTTATTTAATCATATCAGGTTTCATTGTGCCTTTGATTCTGAAACCAGTGTGAGTCTCTGCATGAAAATCAATGACATCAGAGAAATTTTATCTTTCCTAACAGCTCTCCTTTAAATTTTTGACAGTGCAGCTAACAGAGTCAGCCACCAAACACAGCAGTTTGCAGAGCTGTTTCTGGCCTCTGCTTTGACCTCTTCTAGACCTTCTGGGAACAACTTCTAGAATCATTGGAGGCCTCTTCGGAACACCTCAAGAAAGGTTAAGGAGCCTTACTACTGCTGGGAGAGGATTGCTGCAAGAGGCTGTGGCTTCTAGCAATCTCCAACAGCTCCTACATCAGGATTAGTGGGCAGACCAAAGTGGACATTATGGTGAGTGTCTGCTATAGACCACATAATCAGGAAGTAGATGAGGACAACTGGAAGAAGTCTCATGTTTGCAGGCCCTGGTCTTCTTGGGGCAGTTCAACCACCCTGATAGACATTGGAGGGACAACACAGCAGGGAAGAGGCAATGCAGAAGGTTTTGGGAGCACATTGAGGTCAAATTCCTAAAACAGGTGATTGAGGAACTGATGAAGGAAGATGCTCTGCATGATCTCATACTTTTGAACAAGCAATAACTTGTCAAAGATATGACAGGCAGGGAAAGCTTTAGCTGCCACAACCAGCAAATGGTGGAATTCAGGAACCCAAGAGGAGGAAACAAGGCAAAAACTAGGATCCCCACCTTGCAGGGAAGGCTGACCTGTTCAGGTGTTCTCTGGGAATAATACCACAAGATATGGCCCTGGAGAGAAGAAGGGTCCAGGAGGGCTGGCCTGTTTTACAAGAATTACCTCTTCAAGCTTAAGAAGGGTCCATCCCAGTGGGCAGGAAATCCAGTAAACGTGGTAGGAAGCTTACATGGATGAGCAATGACTGCCAATAGACAGTATGGATTTCCACAGGGGAAATTATACTTCACCAGCCTGATAGACTTCTACAATGAAATGACTCTACTCAGCACTTGTCAGGCCACACCTGGAACACTGCGTTCAGTTTTGGTCCCCACTATACAAAAAAGATGTGGACAGGCTGGAGGGGGTCCAGAGGGGCCACATAGATGATCAAAGGACTGGGAAGCCTGCCATATGAGGAAAGGCTGAGAGAATTTGGTTTGTTCAGCCCTGAGAAAAGAAGGTTGCCCAAGGAAGTTGTGGATGCCCTCTCCCTGGAAGTGTTCGAGGCCAGGTTGGATGAGGCTTTGAGCAACCTGGTCTAGTGGAAGGTGTCCCTGCTGATGGCAGGGGGGTTGGAACTAGATGATCTTTAAGGTCCCTTCCAACCCAAACCATTCTATGATTCTATGATTCTAAGGTTTAGGGGAGACCTTATCATCATGTTTCAGTATTTAAAATGTGGTTACAAAGAAAATGGGGACTCCCTTTTTACAAGGAGTCATATTAAAAAAACAAGGGGTAATGGGTACAAGTTACTCCTGGGGAGATTACGATTGGACACAAGAGGAAAATTTTTCACAATGAGAACAATCAGCCATTGGAATAATCTCCCCAGGAAAGCGGTGGATTCCACACCATTGGACACTTTTAAGATTCAGCTGGACAATGTGCTGGGCCAGCTTGTCCAGACCATACTCTTGCCAGGAAAGGTTGGACCAGATGATCCTTAAGGTCCCTTCCAACCTGGTACTCTATGATTCTATGAGATTGGCTTAGTAGATGATGGGAGAATAGTTCATATATTTATTTTGCCTTTAGTAAGGCTTTTTACACTGTCTCCTATGACATCCTTATTGACAAGCTGATGAAGTACAGGTTAGATAAGTGGACAGTGATGTGGACTGAAAACTGTATGAACTACTGGGTTCAAAGGATTGAGGTCAGTGACACAAAGTCAAGACAGGCCAGTCACTAGTTGTTTCAGGGGTTGATATTAGGACCAATGGGGCTTAACACCTTCATTAACAACCTGAATGTTGGCACAGAGTGAACACTCCATATATTTGTAAAAGATACAGAATTGGGAGGAGTCATTGGTACACTAGATACCTGTGCTGCCATCTAGAGGTACTCAACAAACCGCAGAAATGGGATGACAGGAAGTTCAACAAAGGGAAAAGCAGAGTCCTGCACCTTAGGAGGAAAAACCCCAGCCACCAGTACATGCTGGGAACCGTCCAGCTAGAAAGCAGCTTTGCAGAGAAGATCCTGAAGGTCCTGGTGGGAGAACAAGTAGATCAAGAGCCAGAAGTGTGCCCTTGCAGCAAAGAAAGCCTTCTGAACTACATTACACAGAGTGTTGCCAGCAGGAAGGGCAGTGATCCTTCCCCTCTGCTCAGCGCTGGTGAGACACATGTGGGGTGCTGTGCCCAGCTCTGGGCTCACCAGTATGAAAGATATGGACATACTGGAAGAAGTGCAGCAAAGGGCCATGGAGATGATTAAGGGACTGGAACAACTGTCATTGTGAGGAGAGGCTGAGAGAGCTGGGATTGTTCAGCCTGGAGAAGACAAGGATCAGAGGGATCTTATCTCTCCCATGGGGGAGAAAAAAAGGAGCCAGACTTTTCCTAGTGGTGCCCAGTGACAAGACAAAAGGCCATGGGCAAAAACCAAAATACAGGACATAAAAAAAACCTATAAAGATGGTCAGGCATAAGTAGAGGTTGTGGAGTCTCTATCCTTGGAGACATTCAAAACCTGACTGAACACAGCCCTGAGTGACCTGCTGTAGATGACCCTACTTTGAGCAGGGAGGTTGGACATGACAATCCCCAGAGGTCCCTTTCAACTTTGGTGATTATGTGAAGACATGTTGTGTGTGGAAAAATGCCACAGATGACATAATGAATCACCAAGAGCTCTGCTGTTAACTCCTCCCCCAGAATTCCTTTTTGCTGTTAAAGTTTATTTGATTCAGGGAGAAGAGAGCGGTCATGCCAATAAAAGCAACTTAATCTAACAGAAAAAAGGTGTGTATGTACTGGAGACATAGCTATATCATAAAGCCTTCTCACAGCAGAGAAGGTCTTAACCAAATAGTGGGATTATTTAGAGGGTGAATCAAATAGCGGGGTTATTTAGAGGGTGAATCTGTAAGTTACACAGTAATATGCCATCCCAGTGTATCTATATTCCACTGCTCTACTCCACTCTGGTGAGACGCCACCTGCAGTGTTGCATCCAGCTCTGGAGTCCTTTAGCACAGGAAAGACATGGACCTGTTGGGGCAGGTCCAGAGAAGGTCCACAAAAATGATCAAAAATATGGAACAGCTCTCCTATGAAGAAAGGTTGAGAGAGCTGGGGTTGTTCAGCCTGGAGAAGAGAAGGCTCCAGGGAGACCTTCTTGCAGCCTTTCAATACATAAACGGGGTCTATAAGAAAGATGGGCACAAACCTTTTAGCAGGGTTTTTAGTAATAGGACAAAAGGTAATGAGTGAAGATTTAAGAATTTTTTCCTGATGACAGTGGTGAAACACTGGCACAAGTTGCTCAGAGAGGTGGTAGATGCCCCATCCCTGGGAACATTCAAGGTCAGGTTGGATGGGGCTCTGAGCAACCTGATCTAGTTGAAGATGTCCCTGCTTGATGGAGGGGGGTTGGACTAGATGGCCTTTAAACTCCCTTCCAACCCAAACCATTCTATGATTCTATGTTTGTACTTAATGATAAATCTCAAGCCAGGCAACATTATTTTTTTTCCATTGCTGTTATCATGTTTCTAAGGTTGTTTATTGGTGATGCCACCAGTATTGGTCTACATTAGGATGGCACAGGTTGATTCAGAGTCAACACGTAACACTCCATGGAAATTAAAGATGGGTTTTTCAAAGGAATCCCAGAAGTGTAGACATCTAGGGTGGGATTTTCAAAAAGCTCCTGATATATCAGGAAAGTATAAAAAAAAGTGTTAAAAGCATTTTCTGTCAATTTGGTAGGACTCAAGTTGTATTATTTGGAACCTTGTATTTAAATCAAATGCCTACGGGTGGTTTTGAAAATCTTACTCAGGCTATAAGGCTGAAAAATGCTGCTTGAACAATCAAGTCATGCTCCTCTTGACCATTAGTGTCTATTCTGCCCACTCATGTGACTGTCTGCACTGTTATTACTCTCCTTCTGTGTCTATCTTCCTGATTACTTTGGGTGTCCAGAGCTGTTCCCCAGTGCCTTCCTTAAACTTTTCCTTCATTAGCTTCAATCCATTACTCGCCATTCAAACTGCTCCTGAGACTAAATAATCCCTTTCTCGCCTTGAAATTATTTATAGTCTGTGATCACGTCTCCCTGGGTTTGCTCGTGTCTAGACTAAATATATTTAGCTCTTTTACTGTCACTCTGCATGTCTTACCGTGTCGTTTGTTATCTATCTTTGTTTTCTTGAGGTTTTCAGTACCTTTCCTAAGCTGAGAAAAATAGTACTAAATATACTGTTCCAGGGTGGTCACACCAAAAGTATGTTAAGTGACATTATTACTTCCACAGTTTCACGTGCTATTTCATGTACATACTACTGGTAATAATACTACCCTAAGCTAATCTTCTACCTTCTGGGCAGAAAGTTGAATTAATTCACTACAAACTGCTGTAAGGGCTAGCTCCAGCAGTCACTTCTCACATCCTAATAACTGTGAGATTTCCAGTGGAGCAGATCTGAATCTTTTTCTGTCAAAAAATATGATTTTATTGAACTTGAAGCTTGGCAACACTATGTGACAATTTGAACAATTTAATGTTTTTTAAGTTTGTTGGTGAAGGCTGACTAATATTTTCTGCTCAGTGAGGCATGTGTTTTATCCCCTACAAAGTGGAGAAAGAATGAAAAGATCTAAGTTCAAGCATAACATTTGTTTCACAGGAAATTTTGAAATTGTTTCCTTATCTTTTTTATTTGGAAGAAAATACCATGTTTGAATGGCAGATTCTTTTGCAGAAGGAGACTGGTTAGTTCAGTTTTTAATTTAAGGCCCACCTCCACTGAATAACTCATTATGACTCATCCTAGCTCTATCGCAATCTGATAGTACTAATCCATTCCTTCTCTAACTGTACAGGCTCAGTTTGAAATGACACCATCTTTCTTGGAAATAAACTAAAATTCGGTAATATGCTTAGGTGGACATTAAGATTGAAACAGAGCTTGTTTGCAAGGTATTGAGAGGACAAAAGAAGTAAAAGAAGCTTTTAGTGAATGACGACAGGGTCCTTTAAAGTGATGCACATGATTTATGGAAACAGATATCCAAAGACTTACTCTGTAGTCACTGGATGTCACATAAAATATGGGGAGAAAGGCCAGCCAAATGATGCACGTTGTGTACATCGTGAAACCGATAAACTTGGCTTCGTTGAAGTTTTCTGGACATTTCCTTGTTTTGAAGGCATATACAGTGCATAAGACTACGAGGATTACATCATATGTTAAGGAGATTAACATACTGGAATCTTTGACATTGCATTTCAATATGACAGTCTCTCTCTTCTCAGGAAGAGTGTACCGCCTGGTGCCAGGGGCCTCCAAGATAAGCCACACGGACACCACCACAATCTGTACCAAAATGAGACTCAGGCAGATGAAGACCTGAGAGCTGGGGCTGATGAATTTAGGCCTTTGAGCACCGTTCTTTACACCATCAAATATTCTGGCTATGCAGTTTGTTTTTGTCAGGAGGGCGGAGTAGCAGACAGCAAAGGAACTTCCTAGCCCCAAACGACGCAGGGTGCAGATAGCTGGAGAAGGCTTGGCTATGAAGAAGAAAGTCATGCTGTAAGACAAGAAGACCCCAAAGAGCAATATGTAGCACAGTTCACGGCCAGAGGCTTTGACCAGGGGGGTATTGTTGTGCTTGATGAACACTGCAATGACCATAAAAGTACAAATGAAGCCAAGGCATGCAATGGTAACAGGACCTATTGCCCAAGCATCTTCCCACTTAATGTAGTCTTCTGGTAGGTCGTAACAGCCAGTCAGGTCAGTTGTGGGCCATTTTCCAGGCCCACAGTCTGCACAGGTAAATTCGTCAGCCAGGTACTCATAGATTTCACAGGGAATACAAATCCAACAGCAGACATCTCCTGGTTGCATGTTCTTCATCTCATTAGGTGCACAGGGGTCACTGCATTGGGAGACAGGAACAGAGCTCCTGGACCAGTGGATAGAGTCTACCTCAAGTGACAAGGTTTCTGCCCAGTGACCAACCTTCACATAGGAGTATCTGCCTCCAGTGTACTGGAAATTAAACACGTTGTATCTTCCTATCCCATCTCCATAAGCATCAAATTTGACCATACTGTCCGCAGCATTGGGTGGGTTGAATGGAGCTAAAAAAAAAAAAAAAAAAAAAAAAAAAAAAAGAAATAGAAAATGTTATTATCAAAATAGCAGATGATTTTTTTCATCCATTTGGCAAGCACAGACACCTGAAACTTATAGAAGCCAATTCAAGTGCCAACAGTTAAGTCTAGAAGTCTATCTGTCTCATTTTTGAAATGTTTTTGCCTTGTTTGAACGTGGAAGAAGGAAAGAACTCAGATAATAGAACTCTGTTTCACTTTACTGCATGATAAAAATTTGTGAATGTGGAGAGTTATGTTAAATTACCAATGTCCTTACCTTTTTTGCCCTGCATACAAATGAATTATTCCATTATTTCCCGCAGTATGCCCAACTGCTACCTGTCACATTTTCTCTTGAAAGAAAGAGGTCTGTTTCTAACTGAGACTCAGCATTCTTTGGTGAAATTTTACTGTCATGATATAATGAAATTTAAATGCTTGCATCAATAAAGATCAGTTTTGAGGCCAACAGTCTGGAATGCAGTTGAATAGAGGCTTCATTTTCAGGACGATGGAAAAGTGACTATGAAGTCCTCAACAATTTCTTACTACGTCTTTTTAACTTCTCCCTGTGTTGTAGGAAGCTTTGAGTCCCTTCTATTTTGCTTCAATTTTACCAGTTTCTGATATTTCTTTTCAGGTCTGGGATTCCCAGCCTGTGTTGCTTTGTTCCTATATCTTGTTTGGGGAATAAATGATAAAACCACAAACTGGATCTGTGACCAGTCTGTGACTTCTGTGAAGTCAATATTGTAACACTTCCAACTGGTAAGCTCTGGGAAGTTTTTTTTTTTTCCTTCCAGCTGAGTCTCATGAAGGGAATATTTAAAATATAGGAGGAAATTTCATTTACTGTGAGATTTATTGGTCATTGGCTGTAACATCAAAGGTGAATAGCTTTATAGACAGGAAACAAAAGGGTTTTTTTTTGCCATTGATGAGCAATAAAGGGGAATTAATTCACCAGTGTCTTTGGTTACAGAAGTGGTATGTTGGGTTTGTGTGTGTGAGAGGAGAGGCATTTTTGGTAGTGGGGGAAGGGACCACCTTGTGAGAGAGACAGCTCATCTTGCTCCAAGGCAGACCCCTCCCCCAGCCCAGGCTGGGCCAATTAGCAATGGATAAATTCCTCTGGGAATCCATATTTGTGAGTGGAAGGACTGTTGTGAAAAGAGGAAGGTGGGGGCGAACCTGGAGGAGAGGCCATTGACTTGAACAAAAGACAACCATTGGCCTAAGCAAAGAGAGAGCTTCATTGCCAGGAGGAAGGATGAGGAGGGTGGGGGGAGGACAGAGAACCTCAGACACCCAGTTCAACTGCATGGAGTATGAGAAGACAAAGGAGGTCCCTGCAGCCCATGGAGGTTCAATGGCAGAGCCGATACCCACATGTAGGCCGTGGAGGACTCCACGCTGGAGCAGAAAAACTGAGCCTGAGGGCAAGTGTGACTGAATTGACACCCTGAGAGATGCTCTCTGCCAGAGCTGGGGTGGATGCCCAGAGCCGGGGGGTAAGTCTGCAGCCCATGGATGTCCCCATGCTGGAGCCAGGAGCTGAGCCCAAAGAGATCCGTGACTCCATGGGAAGCTCATGTTGGAACATCTTGTTCCTGGACTTTCATGTTGGGAAGAGTGATAGAGGTGAACTGACTGAACCCCCATTCCCTGCCCCCTTGCTGCTTGCAGCTGCTTGCAGGGAAAAGGTAGAGAAATTGGGAGCAAAGTGATTTGAGCCCAGGAAGATGGGAGGGGTGGGAGAAAGGTGTTGTAAGATGTGGTATTTATACCTCATTTTGCTTCTCAGATGAATGGCAATGATTTAAATTTATTTTTCTTCCCCAAGTTGATTCTGTTTTGCCTGTGACCGTAACCGGTGAGTGAGCCTTCCTAGTCCCTATCTTAATCTGTGCCCCCCCCCTTGTTGTGATTCCCATCCCATGTCACCAGTTGCAGGGGGGGAAGTGAGTGCAGGACTGCACAGTCCTACTGTTGTTAAACCATCGCAAGTGGTTCCACTGTCGTTGCTGGAATAAATCTTTTTCCCTTCATTTGTGCCCATGCTGTGCTTGAGCATGAGCAATATCATATAAGGATGTAATATCTTCCTCCACTTCAACCTCCAGATACTTTGTATTTCTTGCAGTAAATTTATTTTGCTTCTATAAAGCACTGAGGCCAAATTCTTTCACCTTTATTCCTGCAGAGTGTTACTTTATTTTGCAGTACTCCCACTAAGGTCAGTAAAAGGGACAGTGGTTTTTGGCACAGAAGCCCTGACTGTAGGGTAGATTCATAACGTGCACCTCCCCAGCTGCTGGATTTGGGAGTGCATTTCTTTCCCAACTTTCTTCCTATCTTAGGGCAAGGCTGGAAGATAATTTAGGCCCAACTATAGTCTCTTCTGGGTTTGAGCCAAGACTCTGCCTGTTCTTACTCCTGCCATCTCCTGTGCTTTACCACCTCACCTGTGCCAGCTGCAGTGGTGGACAGCCTTGGTTTGCAGGATTACAGACTAGATCTGAGTAACCCAGGAATGTATCACAGGATTATTTTCTCTATTCTTCACTGTTGGCATCTAGTTGTACCATGTCTGGCCCAACAAGACCTCTGAGCGCACAAAAATTAAGGGCAGCATAATATTCCCCCAAATGGTCAGTCCTCCTGGAAATAACATGCATTAAACAGGCAGCTAAATTCAAAATGTAGGTCAACGAGAAGAATATTAAGCAACTTCCCTTCTCACCCTCCTCCTCATGCACAGGCATGCAAGCTTTCTCCTCCAGGAGCAGCATTAAAATCAAATCATAATGCAGCTCTTAACAGCTCTTCAGTAATTTGTTGTCATTGCCAGTGTCTTATTTCATTATTCATAACACTTATATAGATTGTAGAAGCTGTTAACATAGCAGCACAGTTTTAAGAGCAAATTTATTCACTTCAGTGTTATACAGGCCAGCTCCTGAGGTGTGCTGAGAGCCTGTGTCTTCTCCTGGCACCAGTGGAGTTGCAGGTAAGCAAGACAAACCGCAAACTGGTCGCATGGCTTGTCTTCTGTCAAGCGTGTAACTTCAAGTGCACGAGTACCCCAGTGCAAGTTATGTGAGGGTCAGAAATATCAGCACTTTTCAGGAACGAGTTCCCCTTGTGTAATATGTTTAGTCACTTCTTAGTTTTGATAGAATATTTATAATTTAAAAAGAGTAAAGTATTTGCCTTGGACTTTGCAGGTAAATCTAGAAGGCAAAGCAGTTAATCTCACATATAGTTACCTTGAACCACATGTGCATGTTGCCTTCCATGGGACTACTCTCATGCTACAAATATAAAGAAAAGGTTTTTGTAGGACAACATGTTTTAAGTTAATCACAGCTTGTAGCTTGAAACATTCATTTTTAGTGGCTGCTGATAAAGGAAAATAAATCACACTCCTTCAGATGGAGAGGATGAAATCATTTAACCAAAAAATAAGCCCACTGGGTGGCAGTAATTAATATACCCACTGATTACCTATAAAAATCACTAAGGCATTTTAATTGATATTTATCAACATATTCTAGATCCTGGAGAACCACTTTCAAAAAGACATGTTTTCAGAAAATATGATGTGATAATAATAACAAAAATAAGATGCTTATAGGTAAGAATGTAATATCATAAGAAATCAGGACTCTATATTTTAGAGTAAAAGGATTAATTTTTGCATATTGGTAGATGATTTTCCCAGAGATGATGTCAGGCAGTGTCATAAGTCACTCTGAATTTTTGTGGTTAAATTTTAGTTTTGAGACTAAACCTACAATCTTTATAACAGGTATTTCTGTCAAGTCTTTTTCAAAGTTGTAGCTAAATTGTTTTGAATTCATCCCTCAGGAGAAGAGAGACAAGACTCTCTCGGTCTACCCATGATGTTATCTAAGAGGCTATCTATCTGAAAGACAATACAAACTTTGTCTCCTTTGAGCAGTATCTTTGAATCTTCTTGTCCCCTTGCACTTCATTAAATTAATTATCCTTATGCAAAACAGTTATCCAAGACAAATTCTATAAAAGAAGATATTAAGGAAAAGAATGGGTAATTAAAGGTGACTTAAAGATACATGCGCAATGCTTCATGCTCCAGCTTGCAGCAGTTCCACAATGAAGATGCAACAGCAGTGACATTTAAGAGAACAGGAGAAACACTCGGGTACACAGAGTGCAGAAGATAGAAACCTATGGAGACACAGTGCAGGCAGCCCACCTCTGTCAGCTCACCGAAGAAATCCTATCAGAGGACAGGATGTTGTTGTATAAGTACAAGAAAAAAATCCTTCAGCTTCTGATAAGAGAGGAAAGACTGTGTAGTTTTACAACAGTTTTAGTAGCAGATATAGATAGAACATAAAATAACATCATAGTTTTTATGTAGTGAAGGGGGGGGATTTATTTTCTTAATGTTGAAAAACGTTATTTTAAGAGGTGGTGTGGGAAATCTTTTTTTGGAATACTTCTGATCTGTGTGATTCTGTGATTCCACACATTGGCTCAGTTGAGTGAAAGTATTCCAGGATTTTTTAACCAGGCATGAGTAGATGAAGAAAACAAAGCAGTTTTAATCCTAATTAGGCACAGGGAAACTTTTAAGAGACAGGATAGCTTAGGAAAAGATGAGCGTCATCTTAACTGGCTTGGAATCAGACTCAGTTTTGTTTGCCAGCAATATCTTTGGGCCAGGAAGGCTATTTTGCATACAGAGTCCTGCATGAGTCTGGCACGGAGCTGAGTGTATAGATATTGTCTTATAGAAAATATCATCTGTAACACTTCCCGGTAGGAATGATGACAGGGATGCCTACATCTGAGAACATCCTTCATCTCCAATAAAACACGCATCTGTTCTCTGCTTGCAGAGTGTATTCTTTCAAAACAAGGCACAGATCAGAGGCACAGCTCACTAGCTAGGAGGCAATTCATTAATAACAAGGCTTGATGAAAGCTCTGCAGTT